TAGACTGGTCTGGTTGTCCTTATTCAGAGGTGCTACATTTTAATTTTAATTTGATTTTTTATTTTAAATAAAAATAATAATTAATGTTTTTAACTCATATGTGTTAAAAAATCAGTGTTTGCTTTTATATTCATGAGGTTATGTTCCTAAATAAGTAGGGGAATTGAAAAAGGAAAAACCTGGGTCCTCAAGAGGATAAAACTGGGGGGGCCAATTGGGGTGGCCAGCTTATTCTCAAGGGGGGCCATGCCCCCCCGCTGGCGCCCCTGGAGAGTAGCAAAATAAACAAAAATGGTGAAAATAAAAAAAGATTACCTAAAACCTAAAAAGTGTGAAAGTGTAGCATAAGGCTAGTAGTAGTTAAAGCCTAGCTGAAAGCTAAAAGTAGCAAAAGATTATGTAAAAAGGTAAGCAAAGGGGTGGCTAAAGGCTAAAAGTAGCAAAATGTCAATGCTACACAGGATATCTAAAAGTAAAAATTAACAAAAAGTTAACTGAAAGCTGAAAGGTCTGAAAGGGTAGCAAACAGCTAAAAGTAACTAAAAGTTAGTTAAAAAAAACTAAAGATTTGATAAAACAGCTAAAGGTAAGCAAAAACTTTACATTATCGCCCTTCTGCCTTTTGTGACGTGAAAAGAAATGCTCAACAGGATGGACAGGTGGACAGCTCTACCTGTCTCTCGGCCGCTGTACAGCGAGTTGTCCTCCATCCCCTGGTCTTCGTCCACCCTGCTCCCTCTCTGCAGGCTGCCTCGCTTCCCTCCAGGTTCTGTCCAGCTCATCTGTGCCCAAGAATCAGACGAAGCATTCGTCAAACAAGAAACCAGAGAAACAAACATTTCTTTACAAAACAGCTAGAGGCTAACGTTAGCCAAAGTTACAGTTAAAATCGGGAAAACAAAAGCTAAAACAACAGCAGTTGAAAGATGTTAAAATGACTTGAGCTTGAAACTTAAATACTTAGCTTGCAACATAAATATTTAGGTAGCTAGCTATATATTTAAGTTAAATATTTAGGTGTATAGCTAAATATTTAAGTTGCAACTTAAATATTTAGCT